TAGATAGATAGATAGATAGATAGATAGGATAGATACTTTACTGTCCCCAAAGGGAAACGTGTGCCAAACAAAGCTGCTTCTACAATTAATACACTACAAACAACAATAAAAAGTCATGTGAAAACCTCAAAAAATTAAAAACATATTGCTTAATAAAACACAAATTGATTGATAAAACACAYATTTCTCAATAAACACATATTGCAAGTAGCACGACAAAACACTATATGCCTACTTTAACAGTCTGATTGATGTAGGAGGAACAAATGAATTTATAAATCTATTGAGTCGACAAGCAGGAATTCTAAAGTGTTTCCAGATGGTAAGAGTTCATATTGTGAGCGGGGTCAGACAGCACCCTCCGAGCAAGTCTGAGGACAGACTCTTCATAGATGGACTGCAAGGAAGAGTTACCAGTCCTTCCTATCACCTTCAGTGCCGTTTGCACCATGCAACCAAGTTTAGATTTTAAYTGCACAGAAAGGTTGCCATACCATGCTGACATTCCAAACTTGACGATGCTTTCCACAACAGCCTGCTAGAATAAAAACACAAGTTTCTGGTTAACCCCAAACACTCTGAGTCTGCATAAAAAAAAATACAATCTCTGCCCCAGAGGGGAACACAGCATATTAACATGAATCTCCCACTTAAACAGATTATCTGGGTGAACCCTGTAAGAACAGACCTGGTTTATTTTCTGGTCGTGAATAAAAAGTGGGAAATTGTCGCCTACAGACTTGGGGTCAATCAGCATCTCTGTTTTCCTAGTATTGACAATAAGGTGGTGGTCATCACTGAACAAATGACTGAACCTCATTAAAATATTGTGAGGGGTCCGTGCCTTCATACAGCAGGCTAAGAATGGCAGTATCATCTGAGAATTTAAAAACATAATTCTCCGGGCAAATACTGATGCAGTCATTTGTATAAACAGTAAAGAGGAGAGACACAACCTTGAGGAACACCTGTGCTGACCTTGGCTCAGATAGTGTTGTTAACACTAACAAGCTGTACTCCATTTGTTAAAAAAATAATAAAACCATTTAATAGAAAAGGGATTAAGATTCACCTGCTGTAATTTCTTAATGAGCAGGTGAGGCTGTAGGGTATTAAAAGCAGAGCTAAAATCTATAAACAAAAGACGAGCAAAAGCCTTTGAATTTTCAAGGTGTTTAAGTGTGAGATGTGTGATGCCATTAATGGCATCATCAGTACCTCGTCCTTGTCTGTAAGTAAACTGGAAAGAATCAAGACCAGGATTTATTTCTGTTTTCAAGAGGGACACAACATATTTCTCCAAACACTTCATTACCACTGATGTTAAAGCCACTGGCCTGTAGTCATTATTATCAGATGGTTTTGATTTTTTTGGGAATCGGAATGATRATTGATTTTTTCTAAACAGAAGGAATACTTTTGACACATCTGCCGCAGGTGGAGAGGTCTGTGATGCATACTTTGGTTAAAGTTGATGTCAAAGTATCACAGTTAAATTCAAGATAATTACAACAAATAAGTTAAACAATTTCTTTGCCTCCCATCAAATGCTACATCCTCATTTCAATAGAGCCGTCTGCCCCACGTTTGCACCTGTTATTCTTTGCACACGCAGTCTTTGTAAGTCACACGCAACATGCCCACTTTTAGCACAGACTATTTTTTTTAATTTGCTGTGCAAATTAGTACTCGTTATCTGGCATCTTGATAAATCAGTCCCTTAGTATGTTACCCACTCAGGTCATTTGTTAGACTGCAGGTAAACAGAGCTGCTCAGAACTCAACACTATGACCAACATGCACATTACACCCTACACAACACAGGTTTATATATCATGCAGCTACATATTTAATCAAGAAAACTTTGCTTTCTTCTCCAACTTTAGTTTTTTTTTTATTCCTACTTAAACACGAAAACACATCTTTTCGTGATTTATTTCTGAAATACCTTTTATATTTTACAGTGTCCTCAGTTTTCCCAAAGCAAATTTAATTCAGTGTGGAGGGAATCTTGTTCTCCACATCCTGAAACAAGACCTGGTCTGGGTTTTTATCTCTTAATTTTTATCTTGAATATCTACTGTGCATGTCTTTTCCTGACCCACAATTTTTTTCTGACTTTAGGACCCATCTAAACTGACCTCAACAAGGCGTCCGATGTTGGCGACATTGAGGATTCTCCAACCGTCTCGTCTTTCTTCATCTGTGAAAAGGTGGAGATACAGTTTGACTTCCAGAATAACATTGTCAACAAGTACTCCTGTTTAGAGCAGCACTCTACCTGTCCTGTGAGGCTGCCCGCCCCAGATTCATGGTACCAGAGCCGGTCTTGTTTGTCTGAAGCCACAGCGTGATGGTGGAGGCGAGTTTATAGTGAGCAGTGTGACCGATGCACCTCTCTGAAAACAAAACAAGCTAACAAGAAACTTACAAACTATTATTTAAATGGCTAAAACCACTTTTTTCTCTCCTCCGATAGTTAACTGCAAGCAGGTGTGTGCAAAAATAAAACTACCAAT